CACACAGATCCCGCTTTGACTCATCGAGTTCATCCTTGGACTCGACGAGTTGACCCCTCTTGACTTAGGGTTTCCTTTCCTTTCTTGGTCCTTCTAATTTTGGGTGTTACAACCACGATACAATGACCATTGCCAAGTCGCAGAATTCCTTCACCACGACGTGACACTGCCCAAAATTCAAAAATATAATAAATTATAATACCTCCAAGAATCTAAATGTTACACACCTACTTGGTATTATTTACTTACCAGTAAATTTTATTGCAAATTGTCACAAATGACAATGTACTTTGTCGTAAGTCTCTTTTTACCCCTAAACTAACCTTTGATGCTAATTAGTTGTTTTGAGTAGGTAACGGTTGTACATTGGTGTGTGAACGACCATGTTCATTCATATACTGTCCATAATGTCTAACCCTGGGATCGTACTCACTAAACTTCCCCATAGCCTAACACACTTGTTGATAAATTGTTGCAACTTAGTGGATATTGTCAGAAGCTTAGGAGACTCATAAGCTTTGAATATTTAGAAGACATTTTGGTTATATGATATGTGCATATTTAATTATATATTTTGTCTAAAATCTTAATACTTTTTGGCTAATTTTTCCTAATTATTGAACAAAAGGTACTTAATTGTGTTTGAATTATATTTTCAGCCTAAAAGACATGCTCGGGTTAAAAAGGAAGCGGGATTAGCAAATGGAAGCTCGGGAAGTAAAGAAATAAGAAAATGATGCTAAAAGGGTGAAGAACTTGGCGAGTTGGCCATCGACTCGCCGAGTAGACACGAATATTCGCGAACCTTTGAAGACTTCCGCACACAGGATATAAGTGACGGACTCATCGAGTCGGTCTAAGGGACTCGATGAGTCGCCCTTGTTTTCAGAAAACTATATATATGACATATTAGCCCGAGACAAAGACTTCTTTTGGATCCTTTGGTGACTTAGCTACGAATGAAAGGTTATTGAAGCTTTAGAGTTCGAAGAATAACCCTAGAGATCAATTCGAAAGAGATCAAAGGCAACATATACTCTCTTCTTCTTAATCTATTGCACAAAACTATGTTTTTACTTATGGATTTCGTTTTTGAGATATTACTTGTTGTAGACATGAGCTAAAAACTCATAACTTCTGTTTAGGGTAGATTAGCTTGTTAATATGGATTGATTTTATGGTATGGATTATTTGATTTGGTGAAAATTGTTTTGCTAAGCTTGTAAACGATCCTTATGTGTTGACAATAACTATTTTCTATTAATTATCAAGTCAATTAAGTTGCATGAACTTCCTCTTAATTGCTTGCTTCATATGATTTATGTGAAAACAATATTATGTCTAGTATTAGTGAATATGAATATAGGATTAATCAGAAAATAGGTAAGTTAATGTGTGAGCTTGTGTGATGAACAACCATACAAGATGTTGATTAAATTAGTCATTTAATTAGCTACAACTACAAGTCTTACTTAACTCGAATCAAAATACTAGGAAATTCATTTGTTTAACCAATTGGTCACTGTTTAAATTAATTTCTTTTCTAAGGATTGGTAATAGTGAACATGAGCCTAATCACATTAATCGGTAGCCAATGACAAAATAATCCATTGCACTTTCCATAAAATCAACTATAGAAACAAGTGAGTCAAACCTAAACAAAAGTCTCTTTTATTATTGAATCTCGTTACTTTTTATTTGCTTTAGTTGTTAGATAATTTAGGTTGAGTATTAGTTAATTGTTTAAGTTTCTAGTCTTGCAAAACTAGAGAAAACCCTTTCTTTTTATTGTTTGTTTTAATTTGGTAATTCTAGTATTTAGTTTAATTGTTATCGTTTCTGTATTCGATACCCTGCTTGTTTGAACTATATTGCTAAACGATAGGTACACAACATTTCGTGTGTTTATTTGTGTTTAAAGTAGTAAGATTAAAACTAGTGCATTTTACACACATCAAGTTTTTGCATTTTTCATTAAATTTATTCCACTATTGTAATATTCTCTTAAACCCTTGTTTTGATATCTGGTAGCACTCTCGTATAATTTGTTATATTAAACCACTAAATATTTTTAAATTTTTTAATTGGAACCGTTATCCTCATTTGAACTTTATAAGGTATTTGAATTCAACTTTGGAAATCGATTATCCATAAACTAAAACTACGAAATACTATTGAAAGATATTATTAAAAGTCAATTCAAATAGGTCCGTGCGAAGGGTGTTACAGTAAACCTATATTATTATTTAATATTTTTTTTCACCTTATTAGTCTAATAAATTTGACCTCTAATTAAATAATTTATCTAATGGTTATGCTTTTCAATAGTTTGTTTTATGAATTTAACTTATTCATTATTATCTATCTAAAATGTTTTATAAGAGTCATCATTTAGTTAGTTGTTTTTTAAAGATATTATACCTTGATATGAAATATTTTAACTTAAATTATCATTAGAAATTAAAATTAATATATAAATATTTCATAAACGAAAAAACTATAATTAGAATAATCAAGTAGTTAAATAAATGGAAAATATTTAAAACTAGAATATATTAAAGAGGTAAAAATAAAATATGATGAAAAAGGAAATGGTTAGTGGTTAAAAGCTTTATAATATATTGATTATTTAATATATATTACATGATCAATAAAAATATATAAAAATAAAAATAAATTCAATATAAAAATCATACACTTCAATGATATCACATGACAATCAAATAGTAAAAACTATAAATAAGTTCACATTTGAAATGTTCTTAGCATTTAATGGATTTAGAGTTCAATGATCATATTGAACTCTTCAATAAGAAAAATATACATTTTTTAATTCTTAAATAAATGTTTAAATATATTTCATTGAATTTTCTAGAGTTCTAACGCATTTTAGGAAAAAAAAAATGATAGAGTGGTATGATATATATAAAAAATAAGAGAGCTGATAATTCCACGGCTGTTATTGATACATCCACTGATTTTTGAAAGAAAATAACAATTATGCCCCCGGTTCTATTTAGAGTTTAATTGATTATCTAAAAGCATGTTTTTAGTAAAACCATTATACCAAATGAGGAACTAGGTTACCACGAATACACTCCACAAGAATCCCATCCTCCATCGTCACTTTCACCTTAATCTGCTCTTAATATAAGCAACATTGCTTGCCCTTTGTTCGGACCATTATGCCTTTGATCCTATTGAAAATTGAATCAAATTGAATATACGACAAAGGAAAATCACCATGCATAAACCGGAAGGCATTCATTTTGCAAGTGAAGAAGGAAATAAATTCTTCAGCAACATTCCCACATTTATCCCATTGCATCACTCACCAATAGATTGAATCAGCTTCTAATGGGTATGCCAATGCGAAATAATTTATGCCAACTAAAGATTCAGGTCTGAGTGGATTTAATTAGGTTTAGATCTGGCTCTGCAACGTTTTCATTCTGGTGATGCGAACTTCGGGTCGATTAATTCAGATGATCATAGAGCATGTTTGCCAAATGGGTATGTTGAGAGGACAAATTAAGCAAGTAGGGTAGATCATGAGTTCATGGGCATCGCACGTAACGATGCTGAATCAACTATCCATTGGTGCATATTTGTCTCATTGTAGGTAGAACTCTACACTAGCATTAAACAAGGTGTTCTGGTGATCAGGGTTACGAAGCAGAGGATGAATGTGAAGGCATTAAGCAATGAGATATGGGTGTTAGTGAAGTTGCTCATGGTGGGGAAATGAGGAGAGACAGTACTTATGGTGGTGTAGAGATATTGAGAAAGAAGATATAGTAGTTGGTGAGCGTGGTTATGGAAGATGAGAAGGGATAAGGAACTGAAGTAAGCACTAAATAGACACCGAATTTATCGAGTCATGTAAATTGCAAGGTTATGCTATTACCTCAATCAAAAACATGGGACCTGAATAGTTGGATTGGATGTTTAAAGAATCCAAATGGAGTTTAACGAATAATTAATTACAAAGGGGCATAATTGTCATTGTGCTTTAAAATCCGTGGAAGTATCAATAACAATCCTTGGAATTATCACCTTCCATAAAATAATTATGAATTAATCTATTAAATTTTATAAAATTTAATGCATTATATGTGGATGCTCTCAAATTTAGTAACCCCCATTTTTAATTGCAATGTAATTTGTATTTTTATGTTATTTTACACCATTAACAAAAATCATTAACCGAAACCCATAACTAATAATTAACTATTGAAATACATTTACAGATTGTAGTGATTATTAGTTTGTTCTAGCATATTAACAAACCAAACCAAACCGCCTTATAAATACTCATGTACAATATATATCGGAGTAATTTGTTAGGCTTACTATTGATTATATAAATTAAGGTTTACGTCTTTATGAAATTTGGCATATAATACTGATTCATAACCCAAACTGTCACACATATCGTGCGACAAATATCATTTCATTCCGTCAACACTCTCTTAAACTCCATAGCTTTTACACGATATCCGAAAATAGTTTTCTGAAGCCATGAACATGGAGACCCCACCACCGGCAACAACTCCACGACCACAACTCTGGCCGCTCCGCCCCTCATACACCAAACTCACATCCCGCCTCAATTCCTACATGGCCACCACCAGAATCGGGAAAAGGTTCAAACTCACGGAACGCAACACCACCTTCACCACAGAGCTCCGAGCTGGAACCGCCACCTTCCTCACCATGGCCTACATCCTTGTGGTAAACGCCAACATCATCACCGATTCCGGTGGCACATGTAGCGTAAAGAACTGCACCTACTCCGTCCCCATCTGCATAGACCCAGCCAGTTGCACCCTCATGCTCCCCTCCGGATTCTTGCAAGTTTCCTCCGGTGGACCCTGGTTACACCGACTGCCTCTTGAGAACCCGAAAAGATCTCATCGTCGCCACCACTGCCGCCTCCCTCATCGCGTGTTTGTCAATGGGATTATTTGCTAACCTTCCCCTTCGCACTCGCTCCTGGAATGGGGACCAACGCTTACTTCACCTACACGGTGGTAGGGTTTCATGGATCCGGAAGCTTATCCTACCAAACTGCCTTAGCTGCTGTTTTTATCGAAGGTTTTATCTTTTTGATCATTTCCACGATCGGTGTTCGATCCAAACTGGCGAAACTAGTACCTAAACCGGTCCAAATCTCATCATCGGTCGGAATAGGGTTGTTTCTAGCTTTCATTGGACTACAACACAACCAGGGTATTGGGTTGATAGGGTATAGCCCATCAACCCTAGTAACCCTAGGTGGATGCCCAAGAACTTCTAGGGCAGCCCTAGCACCTGTGTTCACTAATGGAACCATCGTCCTGATGCCTAATGTTACAGCCTCAGGCGAGATACTATGCATACACAATCGAATGGAAGACCCAACATTATGGCTAGGTATTGTTGGGTTCGTGATAATCGCATACTGTTTAGTGAAAAACGTCAAGGGCGCCATGATTTATGGCATAATATTTGTGACTGCGGTTTCATGGTTTAGACACACGAGTGTGACTGAGTTTCCAGATACTGAGTTAGGTAACTCGGCATACGAGTACTTCGAAAAGATTATCGATGTCCATGTGTTTAGAGACAACAGCAGGTGCCATAAGCTTCAAGGGTATGAACTCAAAGGGCATTCTGGGAAGCATTGGTCACATTTCTGTACATCGACATACTTGATGCCACTGGCACGTTATCTTCGATGGCTAGATTCGCAGGCATGATGGACTCAAACGGAGATTTTGAGGGTCAGTATTTTGCGTTTATGTCAGATGCAGCCTCGATCATGATCGGGTCATTGTTAGGGACATCGCCGGTGACGACATATATGGAGTCATCAACGGGGATCAAAGAGGGTGGGAGGACGGGGTTAACGGCGATAACGGTGGCGGGATACTTCTTTTTGGCTTTTTTCTTTACACCGTTGTTGGCATCGATACCACCATGGGCGGTGGGGCCACCTTTGATACTGGTGGGAGTTTTGATGATGAAAGCAGTGACCGAGATTCAATGGGATGATATGAAACAAGCAATTCCAGCATTTATCACTATGATTTTGATACCATTGACATATTCTGTGGCATATGGGATGATAGGTGGCATTGGTGCATATATTATTTTGAATTTGTCGGATTGGATGATGTTTTTGATGAAGAAATATGGGATTAAGGATAAGATCAGAAGTAAAAGTTCGATTATTAGCCAAGGATCAAATGTTGGAGGTAGTACCAATACAAGTATGGCGACAGAAAAATATGTCAACTTTAGAATAGAAGATACTGTTTAATTATTGTAACAAGAAATGCTGAGTTTGTCGCTCTACTAAAAGTCTGGTAAATGATACTCGATTAATTAAATTATGCATGCAATTGTCAATTTTCAAAATGAATTATATGGTGTTCAAAGTTCTATCATTTAACATTACTTGGTTCCTGTTGCAAATCAGTGATCAATATATAGAATTTGCAAAGTTTGAATATCATATCAAATATATTGATCATTCTTATGACGTGGATCAAAATTTTCAAACAAACTTTACGGAATATATTCACCTTGTGGTGACGTCCAACTCATTGGAATGATTTGCTCGGTGTTCATAGACCGCTCTGCCCAACTTCAAGCACAAGTCCATTAAGGTGTTTGAAGTTGGACAAAGCGGTATGTGAGCAAATCACTCCAAGAAGTTGAACGTACCAATCGGTCAAGGTTAGACGACGTGTCATTCCTTTAAATTTATTCGGAAACTTTGGTCCACATCATAAAAATGATCAATATATTCACCTTGTGGTGACGGAACGACATATACACCTCAACCCTATATAGCGGAATGTTGTGTCATTGCCCATGGTACGCTATGGTGGCTAGATCAGTATGCTAGCATTCATCAATCCACAAAACCAGTTCGAGTTCAAGAGGTTTTTAGGGTTTTCTTTGATTACCGATTTCCAATAATTTTTGGATAATTTTCACTTTATTTATGAAATGTAATTTATAAATATGTTGACTAGTTTTCCTATATAATGTCTTTCCTTTAGCTTAAGTATTTAGATTTTGATTGTTGTTTGAGATTGAATTATTAGAATAGTAAAGACTGTTTCGTTCTTCTTAATAATACATTTCATTCAAGTCCTTATCATCTTGCCTTCAAATGGTGTTAGAAGCTTGGTTACAATGGTCGAACATTAAACGCATATTGCAGCGAGTACATAAGTTGGACTTTGCCATCCAAAGAGACTTAATTTGAACTAAGCATCCGAGACAACAAAAAAAGATGAGATAAAAGCTTTTTGTAACAACCACAATGATAGTTCTCTTTGATGTATTGATATGAAGGCCATATTTTTTGAGTTTTTGGCCAAGTCTTGTTCCGATGGAATTCTCAAGACATTAAGCATGACTGAGCATTTGAGTGATATAGCCATTTGGAAACAATATGTATGAGCTATTATATCAAATGAAGATCATGGTTTAACTTGGAAGATTGATGCCTTGAATGTGCTTATTCAAGCTTATAAGGCATTAAGTCATTTAAATCTACAGGTTATAAATGATTTAAGATAGTAAAACAAGTTACTAAGTGTTAGTACACCTTTTTCGGTCAACAGGAAGTTAATTTGAGGAGTAAAAGTCATTTGGATCAATGAACGATTCCCAAAATTAATGGAAGAAAACTCTGTGTAAGTGTATTATTGTAACGTTCCAAATTTAAGACCAAAAGTTTTGTTTTTAAATTAATAAAACTATTATCCCAAAACATCAACATAAAACTATGGAGGAACAAAGTGTATCAAATACATCATAAGACATCAGAGTAATCATAAAATGTATGACGAGGTGGTGTGTGCACTGCAATCATATCAGGTTCTTCCCCTTCGAACCTGAAACATAAACTAAAAACCATAACCATAAGCTTAGTAAGTTCCCAAAAATACTGCATACCATACATCATAAACACATAATGGGCCCCGCCTGACACCCCCCCCCCCCCCGTATACATATAAAGATATAATTATACAAACACATATGATAATCACAAAGATAATAATATATAGAATAGTCATCGGGTCCCGCCTGACATCGAACCCCGCCCGGTAAACATATACACATAACAAATGTAAGAGTCAAACAGACAACTAGTATACTAACATATCAAACCATAGGGCGACATTGGTGTCTTTGACCCGCTAAACACATTGAGGAAACTCACCTCTAGCTGCTGGATCACTCAATAAAATCTCTGGCTGCTGGTCCGGAAAATCCCCGCACTATCATCACAAAATAATATCCAACTATTAATTGGGTTTCGACCCATAACCAAGAGTCTAAGCTACTACGCCCATAACCAGGGTAAAAGACCATTTTACCCTTTATCTAACTTGACCCAAAGTCAAGGCCCAACTCAACTACACAAAAGCCCCAAATCCTAAATGGCAACTCAAAGCACAAGTATAGCCCAATCTTCCAAATTAGGCCCAACCCATCATGGGCCTAAAATCTAAGGAAGCCTAATAATACTAGCCAAAAGTCCAAATCAAAAGTCTAATGGCCCAATAAGGCCCAAACTATGGCCCAATATCGAAAATGGCCAAGCCCAAAATGCCAACTATTGAGTACACGGGGCATACTTAGCTCGTACGCCCAACAGACTCCCCTGACTACTTTTCCACCTGATCGAGCACTTAATTGGTTAAGTCCTTATGCCAAACTTTCAGATCTGGTCCTAAAGGGTGACTTATCACGTAAAGTTGGCAACTTTATACTCATGCAAGGCTTAATGGGACCCAATACTAAAAAAGATGCTAGGGGTCTTAATACATTCATGAACAAAAAACATCCATAAAGTTTGCATTTTTATGAACCTAGGGCCTAAATGGAGATAAGATTTAACATCCATTGTGTAACAACCCGATACTATCTAGTCAACAAAAGTCAAATTCCGTTAAATAAAATTTCGAATCTTATTTGTTCCGTTAAGTTCTTGTGGGTTAGAAAATAATATAAAATATATAATTAGAGGTTATATAAGTTTTTAGAAACAAAACACTCAAAAAATCAAGATTTCCCTCGAAAAATCAGCGAAATTCGACCAGTCACGTGTTTACGACCGTAAACCCGTTTACTGCCGAGAATCCATTCCCGGCCGGAAACCCAACCAATATAAAGGTTTTTCCCTGAGAGATTCTTCATTTTTCACCTTTTTCACCCTAAAACTCTCTCAAGTTTCTCCCAAGAACATTCATATCTTCAAGATCAAACCTTCAAATCTTCAAGTTTTTCCTCAAGAACACCAATAATAGCCTTCATATTTTCAAGGGCTGCAAACCTAGTTCACAGCCACAAACCTGTTCACAACCGCAAACCAGTTCATGGCCGCAAACCCTATTCACGACCGCAAACATCCCTAAGCCAAGAACCTTAGCTGAAAACCCTCTTTTTCCACTTCAAACAAGTCTCGGTAAGATTCCTAACCCAAAAACAAGTGTTCTCTAACACTTTAATTAATGGTTTCGCTAACTAAAATACAATTATGTGTTTAATTATCATTAGGATATTGTTAATTCCGCGTACTCCAACTCGAGGGTCATCTTTCCGGTTTTGTTGTCGAGCATGTGCACATAATCAACTGTGAGTTCATACCCCTGCACTTTTACTATTTTTAACGTTTTTAGAGGGAATACCAGCCAAACACTTGGAAATTTTCGTGTTCTTATACAAAGGGTTCAGCAAAATCTAAAATTTATGCAATTGAGACAACCAAGAGATCATTACATTTATAAAATATTTAGATATTTTATCTCTTTTGTAACATGCTGAGCATTACGGAAGTTTTCAACTTACAACCATAATTGCAAAGTTTTCAGAACAATACATGAAATCGAAAACATAAGATAGACGCAAACTATAATAGGTATAACTCGGGATTCAACACACCGTTTTATCAATTCCAGAGCTTATACATTAACAAACATATAAACTATGATAGATGTAGTTTATGACGTACAATACTATTTTCTGAACACGAGAGTACAACACTAAAATAATTATTTAAATATAATTATTTTTACCCTACGAGTATACATACAGTTTCAAGTACAAGAGAACACTACAACACTACACATAAACTAGTTAATACAAGGTTGTGAGGCACTACTTCAATTATACCCTTCGGGATGCGGACTAAATCCTACCACAATATAACCAGAGTCTCCTGGATGGAGAGCGTGAGATTTGTGAATAGATCTATTTAGGACTGACAATCACACACCTAAACTGCTAGCTACAGTTAGGCAATCATGCATGGTGTGACAAATATCATACCATTCTGACGTTTGAAGAACATCGTAGAGGTCACTAGGTCATATCAAGCATGGTTATACCAAACTCACAACCTTATAAACTAACCATATGTTTATGGGATTTCATTCTTCGTTAGTTTTATTTTAAGTAATATAACAACTATAGATACTGGTGGTAGCCAAGGTTTTCATACAGAACACACTATACAATACACCTGGTTGTAACCAGGCATACAGGCTAACATTTTCATATACCACCATAGAGCATAGTAACGAACTTACATTTTGGGTCTTAGGGATAAGACTACCTTTCAATACTAAAGAAAATATTGGATTTTCTTGAGAAACATACAACCATTTTCACAAATTCAAAGACAGGTTTTCATTACAAAAACACTCTTATAAACTCACCAGCTTAAATGTTGATACACTTTCAAAATCGTTTGTATTCTCATGGAATCAGCAGACAGGTACCCCCACGAGCTTTTGAGAAGACGGAGCACATAGAGTCACGTATTTTACACTTTTGTCATATTTTGATGTATACAAGTTATGTATCAAACAAATGTCAATACCTTATATATTCAATGTAATGGTTGTGTTTACTTTGATTATTATGATGCAATTGTTGTGATACTGTACATGACGTCCTCCACCCCCGAACGTTTCTATCATTTCGGTTTGGGGGTGTGATAGATTAGTATCAGAGCTATTGTTTATAGTAAACTAAGTATATCAAACCTTATATGGTATACAACTATAAACACTAAGGGGTCGAAGTGCTCTGAACTAAAAATATACTTTTAAAAAAATCTAAGTATTTTATAAGAAGTATACACGTATACATACATACCAGAAACAGTATCCCAAGGAGAACAAAACAAAAGTATTTAGATGTTGGACACTGCTGTTAAACATGGATAGTTATGTAGTCATATCTGGAATAAATATGGTTTGGTCGACTATATTTATTTGAGATACGCCCAAACAT